ATAACCATACTGTAGATCATGCCATTTCAGCTTTACCGATGTATTGCCGTGGTGATGACATATATAATTTTATCATAACCTTTCTGTCAATGGCCCAGACTGTGTCTTCTGTAATGACCATGCAACCAAACCACATTGAATGGGAAGGACCACTTCTGTCTTTTATGTCAGCTGATCTCAGTCGGACAACACGAGATATGATCATTACTTTCACCCTTTTCTGTATTTCTTTCAACTTTTTCCAGAGCAAGGTGACACACCCAACGTGACCAGTGTCTTTATTTGGTGCAGTATGCCCAGCTGTTTCTTCACTGAGTGACTGTCTTTGTCTGTATATGGAACATAGTCAGCTGGGGCTTTTACAAAAAACATTTCAGTGACCATTTTATTTGAATATGTGTTCCCCGCTCCGGATTTTCATGGTTGTGTTGCAGTTTTTGCAGCTAATTTTTCATCAGAAAAGTAGCTGATGTATTCTTACTCAGTACATTTAGATTTTTATTTAGAACCCGGTTCCAAACTCTTTTGAGTAAATAGAAGACTCGCATAAAAAGATTTCATAGATCTTTGAAGTTACTTTTATTGAGATAAGAACGGTAAGAGAATAGGGACAGCATTTTTTTGTTTGCTTCCTTACATCAGGACAATAAAGAAAAAAAAAGGTTTGGTTCTTTAGTTTTAACTTAATCAATGCACTTAGAATGCAAGCTGCTTAATGGAACAGGGACATCTTTATGGCAAGCTTGTTTCTTTTGTAAAGCAACCATGAAAATGCTAAACTCTAGCACACTTGAACTTAGTTTTTCTCTGGCTGCCTTCTTGTTTATAAATTAAATATTTTGACTCTCCTGTTTTGATACTCCTTATTTCCCCTGGTGTGACTGTTCAAAGAAAACTCTGTCTGGGGTGTTGCAGCAGAGCAGATTCAGACAGTTCTGCTCGGAGAAGGAAGTGGAGAGTTTTGGTTCCCATTTTGCACTTCTGGAACAGTTTAGGGAAGGAAGCACCTTTACACCTTTTATTGTTCGTGGTTGCTGACATCATATCCTTCCCTGACCGCTCTGTGCGTGTTTCCTGCCATTCTATCAAGATTCTTCTGTGTTGCAGAGAAGGGATAGTGGCTGTGCATGTGTGTGTGTGTGCGCGCGCCGTGTGTCTGTGCGTGAATGTACGAAGGAGAGACAGGAGCGGCCAAGTCATCTGCTGCGTTGTCCTTTAGCGCTTTTCCCTTCTCAAGGTTCAGATCAATCTTCTGTCAGCCACCGCTGCCTCTGCCAAATCATATAGTGAACAGAAGCCCGCCAAAAATGAAGTTCCTCTTTTTGTAAGCAGTCTGATTATTTTTTTTTTTTTCTGTTTGGGTTTGCAGAAAGAAAAAATGCTGAAGACTGTACCACCATAGCATGTAACTATGTGCTTCTTTAAGTGCAATTTGTTTGCATGTAACCATGTCATTAAGTTGGAAGGTTTCTTTTATGTGGAGACTTACTTCAACAAAGCTTCTGGAACTATTTCAAGTTCCTTTTTAGATTCTCTTGGATAATGAAAGCCTGCGGTGCTATTTCAGTTTTCTAGTACCTTCAACGTTTCTAGCTAGTGTGCTTTGTTAGTGTTAGGAAAATACAATTTATCAGTTAACAGGAAATTTAAATACTTAATATGTAACCTTTAATCCTGCAAGAACTTCAAAAAATATTGAGAACACTGGTGATTCCTAAAGCAGCCGTGGGGATTTGTTGGTCTCCAGAGTTCTTTACATTCTGTTTGATTAGGAAGTCACCGGCCTTTGAAGGTTATAGCACTTGAATCAGATGTCTTGATTTACTCACCTGTATCTAATTGATTTGGAATCAATCCAGCATCTGCTTTAGATATGTACATGTGCAAATGTATATACTAATTAAATTAATAGACCTATAGGCAAACACATAGTAAGAATAGCACATGAAGCAGTATGCGTTGATACGTATATGCGTGTGAAAAAGTAAGACAGATATAGAGAATACCACAGCACTTCCAATTTGTTTCTAGTAGCAGTAAAAATGGCAGAAATTTTTTTTGAAAAGGAAATAAATTTGTTAGAAAAACTGAAAAGCTTTTATTTGAAATTAGACTAGAAAGCAAAAAGCAAACGGGAGAGAGATTTTTTTCGTCAATGCAAGAAAACTCAACCCACTGCCTGTTGAAGCAAAACTATGTTTCTTTGCAAACTGTACGTTGGATACACATGACCTAATACATTCTGTCTTCTCCTTCAGGTTCTCTCAGATCGTATGATAATATTTAATAATCAGATCATCCTTCCTTCCCTTCAGCTTTATTTTCCTACACATCTATTTTTCCTCCTAAAATAAAACTAATGTACTTAGTGGATTACTAGATGTAACGAAGAGCAAAATTCTGCTCACCAAGTGTGGCGTGAATTACTTTAAGATAATTTTATGCAGATCATAGGCATTTTAAGTGTTCTGACCTTAAACCATCTATAAAAGCTTTTGTTGTTTGAAGACTTTTCTTAAATGTGGAACTGATGTGTGGGGGGGAGGGACTCAACATATTGCTCCTCCACTAAGATTTTTGTCCTTCCCGGTAGATTTTCTCAGTATTCAGTGATTGTTCTGATCTCGCTCAGCATCAGCATCTTGATCTGCAGAGCAGCTCTCATCCTTGCTAACCTGTCACCGCTGCTCTAATCTGTCCACTCTGACCTTCCACCTTGCAGTGAATAAGGGCTTTGGCAGGCGTAGTGCTGTAAGCCGATAGTGCCACTGGCTTCAGCTGAATGAAAGGAAAGGAAATTGTTCCATATGCATTTGCTGTGGATTAGCGTATTGGCTTACTGTGACAGAGAAAGCCTGTTAGACTCCTTTGGGTCCTGCATGTGCATGGGAAACACCACTCTAACTTGCTCTTTGTGTCGGAGGTAAGACTGTAGGAAAAACAGGAAAGAAACCCAGTCCGAGCAAATTTAAAACTGTTTCTAAAAGTAGACTGGGTTTGTTTGTCAACACTGAGTATCAGATAAGACTGTCTCCTAGCTCTGTTTGGAAAAAAAGTTTTAGAAATACATTTAATCAATTTAATTTCTTTCAAAGTTTTGGACTTCTGTTTTTTATTGTAAATAATACGATCAAGCGCCTTTGTGCCTTTTTAAGCAGTGAGAAGTTGAACTGTTTTCAAACAAGTAAAAGCAGCAAAGAATTTTTGCAGCCTTTACACTTTATTATATTGGCAATATGAATTGTTCCATGTTCTGCATTATGGTAATGATTCAGGCATATACAAGTATGCCTAGCAAATAATATAAAAAGGCATTCATGTACAGAAAGGTAATAAGTATTATACTTTAAAATTTGTTTTGCCCAGCAGATTAATTATATCATAGTGGCTAGTTGGAAGACTCACCCTGACTGCTTATTTCCTAACTTATCTTTTTCTTAGAGTGGTAAAACACTTGAGCAGCTTAAAGTTTAATGTATGCAAAGAAAATCAAGAGAGAATTGAAGATCAGAATGAGTGAGGTCTAGCTTTTCTACCTCAGTAGCTTTGAATCAGAGCCAAATAATGGATTAAATGGCCAGGACATCGGCTTAGTGTTACGTAACATATTGTGAGAATTTATCAGGTTGGCTTCGACACTACGAGTTTAAAATAAAGGAACACCAGCCTCTGGTTTAAAGTTAGTAAATTTTTATTTCCAAGGCAATATTTCTAATACGTTATGGATCTAGCATAAACACAAGAAAAATAATTTAAAATTAATCTTGTTCAAATTTTTTTTCTCTTCTATAGTTAAAAGAACTCTCTGCTGTTCTGTTCAAAATATGTAAATATAAAAATACAGTAGATGAAGGTTAAAAAGGGAAAGAAATTGCGTCTTTTACCTTTATAGTAGACTGAATATAATTTCTGTATTTTCTTCTCTTTCTATCAAGTCTTTTATTGCTAAAAATACTTCGTGTATCATACTAATTTTGTGATTTATGACATTTTGTGAAATATGGAATGTGTACTGTGTTATGTATTTTATATATTGCATCTAACTGTCCTTCCTTTTGCGATAGAACCGATATCATAAAGTTAAGGAAGCTTGTATCAGTGCATACTAAAACTGTGAAAATATTTTTCAAAATATTTTAAAATTATCATCTGTCCCTATTATTATGTGCTATATAGCTTGTCTTTTGGTGCAAGAATTTTTATAAGGAAAGATATATGTGTTTGCTAGTTATAAATCATTCGTCAGAATGTTTTAGAATTTGCATTGAAATGAAACGAGGGAAAATGCACTACCGTTTTCTTCGAGTATCTTGAGTAATACTTGCACTACTCTATATTCTTAAAGAATAAGGTTAAAAATTTTGGATTTAAAGTCGCTGACATCCTTCATATATCAAGTAACACTTTAATAAAGGTCCATCCTATTTGCATAATGAGGGACATTATCACCTCTGCTGTCAAAACACAAGATTGTTTTCCCTTCAGAAATGAATTAGCTGGCCTACTTAGCATACATAGGTACAGAAAGGTTCATTAACTCTCTGATTTAGGTAATTTTTCATATTAGAGCAGTGAGTGATATTTAAACCTAGAGACACTTAATTCCGTTAAAGTTTTGGCAACGTGTATTTCAGTCCTTTTATTCATTTCTCGATATTTTGGCAGGTTTATTCACAAAAAGGCTTTGAATTAAATTATTATTTCTCTATACATTGCTTATTTTACAGATGCAATAAATTTTTATTGTCATCTACATGTACACTAAATTATAATGAGGATGCTTGGTCAGCTCCATATAGTAACTTTCTTCTGGTTGTCAATTTTTTAATAACATTGGATTTCCTTTCTGTGTTTAGCAGGAACGGATGCAGGGGACTGTGAACTGAGTAGTGCAAGTGCTGAAGAAGGAGGTTTGTTTTGAGGAAACGGGAAAGAGGAAGAAAAGAGAAGGGAAAAATACATAATTTTAAGGAAGAAGGAGAGAAAAAAAAACGGGGACTATGGGGAGAAAAAAGATTCAGATTACAAGGATTATGGATGAACGTAACAGACAGGTGAGTAGCAAAAATACCGTATTTGGACATCATATTATATTTCTAAGGTGACTTATTCTCATAAGTGATTAAAAAGTTGGTAACTTTGTGTAGATATAGATGTACCCACGTATATGTATACATATACACAATGTATGGGAGGCTATCAAAGAAAAAGTACTTTAGGAAACAACCAGAAACCTCACACACAGTTTTTTCAAGTTTAGTAACATGCATACTTAGGAATTTATTACTGGAGGCCTTGATTCTACAAAGACTGATGCGTATGCTCTACTTTGGGCCCCTTCTGCACACGCTTTGACTTCAGTGTGTAATATACATGGTTAAGCACATCTGCAAGTTGTTACAGCATACAGGCTTTTAGTACTGTATTTTGTGAACTGTTATAATATCAGTTTATTTGCAGGAGGACTTGCATTTAAATCCATGGATCCAAATCATTCATGTTTATACATGTTTGCAGTGTTTTTATTTTTACCTCCTTCATATAAAAATGACGCTACTTCATAAATCTCAGCTTTTTCCATCTGAATTTCAAAAAGAATTTGAATGGACTAATGCAACCTAAAACCCACATACAATAATATTGGCATGTTGTAGTTACGAAACAAATTCTCCGTGACTGATGCTATGGCTAAATGGGTCCAGCAGGACTGGTTAATTAATTACTATGACTGCTTTAGATAAAATGGCTGAGTAGCTGTCACGTATTATCAACGCTATCTCTGCTAGTTAAAATATGGTGATAAATTAGGCAAACTGCTTTCCTGTTTTCAGAAAAATAATATTCAGCAATTGGCATCTTAAAATAAAATCAGTGAAAAGCTGCTACTGTTTACATTTAATGTAAGCGGATGGATGTTTTGTTGAAACTAAAGTTGCACAAGTGTGAGAAACTCTCCATAAAATTATTTGACGTTGTGATTAGTGTTCTTCGTACGTGTGGCTGCAATTTACCAGTAGTCTTCAGTAGCTGTTTTTTAAGAACTTGATACTGAGTGACTATTAATATGTTAGTTCTATTAATTTGATCTATAAATGTCTTCTTATATTCAGGATGTTTTTTAAGAAGTTATGTTGTTAATCTTCAAGGGCTTTATAAAGCCATAACACACTCATCTTAGGCATAACAACAAATTATAATCTTTAAATATGATTTCCAAGAATTTTAAAATTTTGTAGTGTTATTATCACTTGTGTTCTCCATGGCAGAAAATCATGTATAAAAACAAAATTATATTTATTTTTCCCTAAAGGTTGCCTGTTACTGTGGGCCAAGCCAAAAATAAATAATTCTATCAATATAAAACCATCACTGTATTTATTTCAGTTGGTTTATAGTTTGGAACTGAAATTGGATTTGAAATAGTGAACTGAATTTATTATTAAACATTAAGACACTAGTTGTTTAGAATTTTCCCGTACTACCATGGTTTCCTTTTGAAGCAAACCTGAATTATTTTGTAAATGACATTACAAAATTTTGCCATTAGTAACATTAATTTATACAGTAGCTTCAGTATCAACTTGCTTACACAAATACAGCATTTATAGAGAACTTAATCCCCAGTTTTGTCAGAGATTTCTTTCAAGAGGCTAAACTTAGTTTAAAAAATTAAGACAGCCAGTTTTTCAAGTCATTTGCAGTAGAGTTTTGAGACTTCTAGCACCAGCTTTCAGAACTAATAATTATGAATAAAACTATAACACTGGAATACTAACAACTGTAATGTTAGTGCGGAAAGTGTTTATCTTGCTGGCATTTGATCATATCCATCATGTCGATCAGTCACTGTGAGGCTGAAGGTATAGGTTTACGTTACCCTCCATGTAGTATAATAGGCTTGATTTTACTTCTCATTTCTACTAATATATTGAAGCATAATTTAGAAAGTGTTTCTACTGGTTTTATCCTCTTTGCAATCAGCTCCCTGATTTAAAGCTCAGTGAAGCCAATGAAAAGATTTCCATTTGGACTGTGGGATCAGGCTTTTTAGTTGTAGTGACATATATATTGCTAAGCATAACTGGATTTTCACTGATAGCTGATTGATCTGTTAACCATTTGTATGAGATGTATTCTTTCAGAAGCCTTACTGTTTCTTAAAATATAATGTATTCCATGACCTATTGCTGCTTCAAGGAAGCTGCATCAGTTGATTTGTTTTCTAACTTACACACTTCCAGTAATCTTAAAATAGTAACTGGTTTATATTCCTTTTTTTTTTTTTATTGATGACATAAATGTATTTGAATGCATAGAAAAGATTAAAAGTTTACACTGGGAAAAAAAAAGGTTAAAAGTTTTTAATTAATAAAATTAAGATACTAGCTGAAGCACGGTTCCACGGAGTATTTTTAGCTCCATTTACCGTGATATGGATGAATACTGTTTTCTTTTCTTTCTTACTACCTTACCAAAAGATATCTGCAAGTACAGCAGCAAATCTGTTGACTTGAAACTTCTTTATCGTTGCTTATATTCAAACTCAGCATGGTTTCATGATACAAGGCATGTTAGATGAGAATATGATATATATGGATAGTGCATCCTCAGCTGTTTTCAAGCACGTAAATTCTCTGCAGGACAGCATATGCAGGGAAAAATAAATGGAACACGTATCAAATGAGGGGATATAGGAATAGTTTAATTCTTCTACCCTTGCCCAGTGCAAGGGTGAATCTGGATAACAGAATTTTTGCAAAAGGCTGTAAGTTGTTACAACCTGTGGAAGGTGATTTCTGTCCTTGCTTTTCCACTCATTTGCTCAGTGTCCTGACTAGCTTTTTACGTTAACCATTAAATGAAGTACTTGTTCTATCAGTGTAATAGCTGCTTTCACCTACTGTACTGTCTACTATGGTAGGAGACTTCCCTGCTGTTCAAAGTACTTGTATGAGTGGATTGGGAAGGACAAAAATAGTGCTGACCTCCCTTCAAAAGGATTTCTTCTGAGCAAGTCTAGTTGGTTGGATTTGTGTACTTTAGTGACCATACTGGTAATAAATGTAAGTTGAAATTGTCCAGAGTCAGATGTCTGGCTGCAAATCTCATAGAAATGGGCATACTGGGAATATGATCTGCACTTTCCCGAAAACTATTTGAAACTTTGGCATTTTGGGCTAAGTTAAAGGAAAACTACGGCAACCTAGACATTAGAGGCCCAGTCCTTTTACCCTGAACTGCGTAAGAGCTCTGTCACTGATTGCAGTGAGTGCTGAATTCAGACTTTTAACTAGGAGGAGCCATTAATTTAATGTTGTTTCATGTGGGCTGCCAGTTGGCTGTATTTTCCAAGCCCTCATAGTTACAGCATGGTGACAAAGGTGGTAAGGATGCTTGAATCTTCTGTGAGTGGTCACAAATTCTCTTCAGTTGTGAAAGTTTCAGAAAAGCCCATCTGAAAAATTCCCTTTCACTCTGCTTTAGCCACAGGGAGATGAGTATGAACAACTGCCAGGCTACAGTAAATGTGTATTTATTTATGTGTAGTTTATTAGGTATTATGTATTTATAATGTGTAGTTTAGTTACCATCACGATATTAAACTCTCAAGAGAATCCTGTTATAAGCAGCCAATGTGACCAGAGACTTTCTTTTTATTGCGCCACTGGATAATATAGTCTTCATAAATGTGGAATGACTCTCTGGTAGTGTTGCTCAGGCTCAAGAGATTGTGGTAGCCTTGTCAACAGCCTGTTCGAGTAGACAACATGCATGATATTAGTTGCACCACCGACAGAACTGATAGCCAAAAATATTAGCACTGACATCTAATGTTGGAAGCTCCTGACTGCTACAAGTTCTTTGTGCAGAAATAGGCATCTGGCAGATTGGAGAAGGCTGCTGACAAGAATTCTGGGTTGTTTTTTTTTTTTAAAAAAAAAAAAAAAAAAGAGGACAAGTATTTGCAAAAACATGGTTGAACTTTATTTTCATGTATTTTCTTGACAAAAACAATTCAACTAGTTATGTTATGGTCAGCACTTGAAGGAAAAGTTGCATTCATTTGCCTCAGAACAGTCCCTGTATTTTTCCTATTTGTTTTTCATCAGTTTGAAATATTTTGTTAGTTTTAATGAGGGCTTTTTGTGGTTTGTTGTAGACTGGGATCACCTGAAACTGTCTTTGCAACAGCCCAGGCAGGGCTGCCTAGGCCTGAAATAAATAGGTGTAATGACATAAATGATATTGTATTACTGTTATACAAGGTCACTTACAAAATATCTCATTAAATCCATGGTCTGTGAGCTAAATTCAGAGGTACATTGACCCAGGAAAGAGAGCATATTGACCCAATGACATTCTGATACTGGGTCTGGAACACCCTCTTGCTTTTAATCCACTGGTTTCTCTAGTTAGTATCAAGAAATATCAGGTCTTGTGTGGTGATCCACCATTTTTTATCCCTCTGATTATCATGCTCATTAGTTCTGCAATTCTTTTCCTGCTTGCGAAGCATGCTGTTGTCAGATTCGCAGTTAAAACTGAGTTGAGCTTAGCTAATGATTCTGCATACTGTTTAAAACATTTCTTTCAATTTGTAATGAACTGCTGGGAGGTTAAGCGTTATTAAATATACCACAGGAAGTGTATACTTCAACATTAAGGTGCTTAAATAGTAAGACACTCTTTTTATAGTACCATGCCCGTGTAATTCTATGGGCTACAACAGTAACAAACACTTGCTGTTTAACTTTTTCATGCATAGACTTTTTATCATTCTTTGATTCCAGCAAATCTGCAAAGCTATAAACCAAGACTTACTGCAGTTATCAGCTCAATAGAGAACAAATTAAAGCAGATAAGTAAAGTGAGGTTATGGACCAGGGGAAGAATATCCTGGAGGGAAATGACCGTTTGCAGGAAGACCTAGATTTGTTCTACTGACTTTGATACCTAATGCTAGTTTCAAAACTAATTTCAGCCTCATGTATCTATTTTTATCTGTGTTTCAGCTCTATTTAAAAGGAAAGAGTAAGACACAATCGGCTGAATC